GAGAGAGAGAGATAGAAACATCAATGATGAGAGAGTCATTGACCGGCTGCAGCCTGCAACCCGGGCATGTGCCCTGACCGGGAATCGAACCCTGATCGCCTGGATCCTAGGTCGATGCTTGACCACTGAGCCACGCCCGGCTGGGCCAATTTAGCTACTTATACTTTACCAAAAGGTCAAAGCTTTACAGGATAAAAATTACGTATCCAGAATCTCTCCTTTCACTGTGTGAGAAATCAGTATGTGGTGAAACAGATAGAATCTTGTGGCATTTTAAATGGGAAACAAAGATAAATGCAGATCAGTTTAATTTTAAATTTCATTAATAATAAACAACCAGTTGTTTGGGCAATAGAATCTATTCACAATAATAAACAACTATTTTCAAATGATTGTTTTCTGTTTAAAGTAGCAGTTTTACACAAGAAATCTAATACAATTTAGATGCAGCATGATGGCCTTCACATATAGGGTGTCCCAGAAGGTGTATACACACACTTTGAATAATTATAGAGGCAGTTTTTATTAAAATAAATTTCATATTCAAAATTGAACTATCAGCTATTAAAGTATGTATACAATTTTTGGGACATCTTGTACGTACCGAAAATGTCTGATGAATTCTGAAAAACTTAACACCTATGTTTAAAGCTCTCCATGTTTAGTAGCGCTAATTTTCAGTTTTAAAAAATTAAGAGAAAATGGGTTGCACATTTGACATCCAAAAATATCTGAACTTGTTACTTATGAGATCTTTAATTCTTAAAAACTTGTGGGAGTATTTATTTTGATTAAAACAAATTCCCACAACACCAAACAAACAAACACTCCAATAAAAAGTGAACAAAGCACCTGGCACTTCTCCCAAGAAGACATACAAATGGCCAGAAGATATATGAAGAGATGTTCAACCTCACTAGCAATTAGGGAAATGCAAATCAAAACTACAATGAGATACCACCTCACACCTGTTAGAATGACTATTATCAACAAGACAAGTAATAGCAAGTGTTGGAGAGGCTGTGGAGAAAAGGGAACCCTCATTCACTACTGGTGAGAATGTAAACTCGGTACAGCCACTATGGAAAAGTCTGGCGGTTCCTCAAAAAATTAATAATAAAGCTACCATATGACCCAGCCATCCTTCTTCTGGAAATCTACCCAGAAAACTAAAAAACATTTATTTGCAAAGATATTTCAATAATATGTTCACTGCAACATTATTCATGGTGGCCAAGACATGAAAACAACCAAAGTGGCCCTCAACAGATGATTGGATAAAGAAGGTGTGGTACAGATATACAATGGAACACGACTCAGCCATTTGCCACAGCATGGATGGATCTTGAGAGTATCGTGCTAAGTGAAATAAGTCAAACAGAAAAACTCAAGAACCCTATGATTTCAATCATATGTGGGATATAAAACAAATGAACAAATAAAAGCAAACAAACAAACACTCAGACACAGACAACAGTAGGGTGGAGACCAGAGGCACGGGGGTGGGGGTAATAAAAGGTAAAGGGAGTCTAATATATGGTGTCGGAGGATGATTTTACTTTGGGCAGTGAACACACAATGCAATATATAGATGATGTATCAGAATTGTACGCTTGAAACCTATATAATCTCATTAACCAGTCTCCCCAATAAATTTAATAAATAAATAATAAAAATGTCTTTTGTTTTCATATTTAAATGGACTAAAGTCTTAGATCAGGAATAGTTTTTGAAGATAGATAGTTTCTGGAAAGTAATTAAACAAAATGGTTCCACTCTATTTTTTGGGGGGATCCTGCCATAATCTATCAATCCTTTAGAACAATCCTCATTTTTCTTGATTCAGAAAGAAATCTATTCTCTACGTTGTTGCTCTAGGGCTAAGAGATAGGGAGGCCCACTGATCCCAGTGTGCCCAAGGCTTTCCTGATGTAGCTGAACCTCCTGGGAAGGTGGAGCCGTTGGTTAGCCTCCTGAGAGAGGAGGCAACCTGGGAGCCTTCTGCCAACAGAGCCTTACCTGAACATCCTTGCGGTTCATCCGTGTTCCCTCCTTCCCCACGAAGATGTCGTCAATGTCCACGAGGATGTACCTATCTAAGGACAAGGTGAGCCTCTTCCCGGACAAGAAGGAAACGGCGTCTATGAAGATGAGCTTGTGTAGCCAGAAGTTCAAGTTGTTGCCAAAAAGAACTCGCTGGATGCCGTCGTGCAGGCCCAGGTCATGGACCACCGTGGCGTAGAAAGCACCTTTGGAGGTGGGAGGAGAGGCGTTCTCTGGGGTCTGTACTTTGGCAAATATAACTGGTTGGTATGCAGAGTGATTAATCTGAAACACTGTCCAGTCAGCTCCAGGCAGAGAACCCTTCTGGAGCCTGGAAGGTCTGGTCACGTGGAGCAAGGGGGAGTGGGGGTTAATGCAGCCGCCCCGCAGGGCCAGGCTCCCCAACGCTGAGAGAGGGAGGCCTTTGGGCTGGAAGCTCTGCGGTCCCTTGTCACCCGCCCTGTGGAAGCCAAGGACGCCCACGCTGTACTCTGCACAGTATTTATCTAAAAGGCCGCGCGTCCAGGAGTCCATATTCACATACTTCAAAATATTCTCGTAAATAATGAGACTATATTTGCCTTTCGTTTTTTCTGCAAGTGCCGGGAGATCCCCCTTCCCGGGAGCGAGTTCAGTATGATACTGGAACCGACCTGACTCCAGGATCGTAACGATGTCCTGGCCCAGCGGCGAGTACTGGCTCTCCACGAACACCAGGACTGTGGGGTCTGCCCTCGGGGCACCCGGGAGCCTGCCCGCCTTCACGCCCGCCGGCCTGTAGGGTGGGAGCTGGAAGTCCCCGCAGTCCACCTCGGAGGCCGCCTCGGCGCGGTCGTGGTCCTGCCTGTAGCCCGCGTACAGGTAGTAGGCGGACACGGCGATGCTCAGCACGCACAGCGAGGCGAGCAGGGCCACCGTCCTCTGGAAGCGCCGCTGCAGCCGCATGGTCGGGCTGGGCACCTCCCTCGGACCCCTCGAACCGCAGGAAGGGGAGGAAGGATGATGCTCGGCTACCTCTCCAGTCTCAGCCAGGAGCTTATGTCACCATGGCAGCTCATGGGCAGTGCTCGACTGGGACTCACAGAAAACAGCCTGAAAAGGAGAAAAGAGAACAGAAACCATTCATTCCGTGGCATCGAAACAAGCAGTTTTCACGCTGTCGACGGGCACGGGTGCGTGCTCGGTAAGAAGCCTTCCTGCCTCCCAGGCCTGGGTGGGGGGAGGGCAGGGCGAGGGGAAGGGCGAAGGGACCCTGGTAGAGAGAAGACGCCGTGAGCAGGAAGTTTGCTTGAGCTCACTGAGCTTTGCCTCAAACTCTGTAGAAAACACACCCAAGACCACAGAGGCCACCTGAGCCACACACTGCCACATCATGTAATGCCATCTCGGGCTATTTGTATTTAATTATATATACTGAAAGATTATAAACGTTTGGACACAATTCATTAAATGCTACAATTAAGAAAGTAGTTTGTTTGTTTTTTCTGAAAAGTTAATGATGCAATGAATTTTGACATTTCATTTACATTTCAAACCTATTAGATAAGCAACCCTATCATAGTTGCTTTCATGAGAATAACCCTTTAAAAATGCAGCTAGGGTCTCCCAACCCAAATGATCATTTTAGAGATGTGTATTTACAGAGTTTGCATTTTCAAAAATCAGAACAGTATTTTGGTGAGATGAACATGAGGGGTAAAGTGTCGCCTTGGGGCCTTCACAGTGTGAGGTCATGGGGGCCTCCTGTACTTCTGTGGAGGAAACATGGACCTATGAACTCATTTTATGTACTGCTCTGTTTTTACTTTTTGGAAAAGAGCTTAGTAATTTTATGAAAAATACTTAGAAACTATGGCAGGTCCTTGAATAATGTCATTTTGCTTAATATTGTCTTGTTTTAATGCTATGGAGAAAAAAGTTTTGATTCCCCACTGGGTCCGCTGTCTGTGTGGAGTCTGCGAGTTCTCTCCACATCCACTTGGGATTTTTTCCGAGGACTCGTCTCCTGCCACACTCCAAAGCTGTGCACATGAGATGAATGGCTTTCTCTATGTCCCGTCTGAGTATAGCTGGGTGCCTGAGAGTGACCCTGCAAGGGCGATCAGTCCAGGATGGGTCCCGCTTGGCACCCTGAGCTGCGGGACAGGAAGGGACAGGCTCCCGCCCAGGGACCCTGAACTGAAACCATCAGTTGGAAAATATTTAACTTGCTTTTATTCATCTTTCTGAAATGTCTGTATAGCTCACATTTGTTTTCATCTTTCAATTTAGAAGTGTTTTGGGTCTGTATGTAGAAGTTTGGTAATGTTTTGGGGCAAGAAATATGCTGTAGGAACTTAGCTCTAGTTGTTATCAATTAGCCTCTAGTAACACTGGTTTTGTCATAGTCATGCAGTGCTTAATGATGGGCTGTTGTTCTTAAAAATGTGTCATCAGATGATTTTATCATTGTGCAAACATCACAGAGTGCGCTTATACACACCTAGATGCCTCAGCCCACTGCTGTGGTCATCTGTGCTGGACATTTATACACTGGCAGTGCATTCAGATGATTTACCCCAGTGTCACCACAAACACACAAGTGATGTGCTATGACATTAGGATGGCTACAATGTCCCTAGGCCATAGGAATTTTTCAGCTCCGTTATAATCTTATGGAACCACCATCGCATATGTGGTCCATTGTTGATCAAATGTCATATGTGATGCATGACTGTATGCTGTTTCATTTAAAGTCACAGTTTCCAAGAACCCACAGATGATATCAAGAAAGGACTTATTGTTGTCTAAAAAAAAAATAATGAAAACTTCATGAAACACTTTGGTATGCTGCAATTCACAGTAACCTTTGAAAAATTTAGTAACCTTTGAAAAATAAGAAAGAAACATGGGTGCTTGTTACAGCTTGAGATTATTAGAGTGTTATGGTACTGGTACTTTGCAAGAAAATACCATGGGGTATAAAAAAAAATGTTCTCCTTGTCGTCCGTAAGGCAGGCTGAAAGCTAGATGGGGAGATGGCTGGGGGGACAAGGTCTGGTGGAGAGCGTCAGATCTAACATTTCCAATAGATCAGGGTCTTATGTCTCTGTCTGTGACCACAATGTCCCTTTAACCCCAGGACATTCCAAGTATAATCATGAGGTTAAAATCAATAATCACAAAGAACACTCCTGCTCTAAAATTCTGTGATACCACCAATGAAATAAGCAATAAAAAATATTTTGAATAATAGATGTTTGTCTCTATGAATAACATATTATGGGGTACAACTGCAAGATGTTTATAGGGTAAATATGCTAGTAATCCTTTAAATTGTATACTTTAGTTTATCCATGTAAATATTTAGGGTATCTGTCATTCTTCAAATATTTATAGGGTAATTGTATTTCTGTTTAAAATATAAATGCTCAGCAGAGTAAGTTTCTTCAAATGACCCCAAACTGTATAGTGACTAGAATGAAACCATTAGTGTATGGGTTGTTGATTAGAGACAAATGACTATAATGGAATGAGAGAAAAAAGAGACTAAGGTGAGTTGGGGAAATTGTGATGCCCTGGGGGGCGGAGGGGTTTGGGCAGGTCCTTGAAGGGTGAGGAACCTGAATAGGCACCTACTCAGCAGACTTCACAGAGGCAGCAGTGAGCACAGTACTGCGTGAGGGAACCTGTGGAGGGCGGAGGGAAAGAGTGAGGAATCTTAAAGCAAGTTTTATAAAGTGTGGGTCACGCAGGTTATGGGGAAACTGCATAGCACAGGAGTTCACGGTTGTGAAAGCTCACAAGGACCCCTGAGAGTTTCTCCATGGGGGGACATGACAGGGTGAGAGTTTTCAGGAGAAGGAATGCGTGAACGCCAGGGGGGACACAGTTCATCACATCCTCGGGGCCACCAGTGCCCAAAAGTCCAGTCTGGCAGCTGGTGCCTGCTCATTTCTCACAATGCAGTGCTGACCTGTCAGTGATTGCAGGTCAGGAGAGTGCCGGAAAGGGACAGCGAGGGACACAGGGAAGGGACAGCAAGGGACACCACCTTGCAGGGGGAGGAGAACCAGGTATGACACGTGAGGCCGTCGGTACATCACCCTGCTGCCGAGTACAATGCCGCCAGGTGATCTGCTGTGCCCCAAGTAAATCTAATGGAAAGGATAGTATTCTGCTCTTTAAACATCCAGCGCAGATCTAGGTGTATTTAAGCAAATCAAAATTACCAACACAACCAAGAGTTTTCACTGTCACTGTAGTTATTTCACTTGGAACACTGCACTTCTAACGTTACAAGGAGTAATGACTAACGGTCTGGAGCGTGGCAGCCGGACACGGGCTCACGCCCGTTGGGTTTCGGCCCTGGAGTGTTTCCGTCGGGGCTCAGGTGGCCCGCCACGCTCTGCGTTTCAGGCAGCAGCGCTCCGTGGTCTGTTCTACTGTCAGGAGGGAAGCTGCGTGCGTCCCACGCGGGTCTTACCTGCGTGAGGCTCAGTGAGGAGCTCCTGCTCTCCCTCGGCAGGGGGGTGGGAGGAACCTACCCCAGCTGCCCTCTCCATCGGCAGGTCTCAAACGCGCAAAGGCGTTTCTTTTCCATGAATCTCTTCGAGCTTCCTCCTGAAGCCACAGTGAGTTCCCGTGCGCATCCCGAGGGTAGGCTTTCCCCTCACATATTCACACGGATACATTAAGATGCTCTAAGTTCTCTACAAACCTTTTTTGACTGAACATCTCACTTTGCTGTGGCCAAATTTAGTCTGGTGTGACTTTGAGAATGTATGTGTCCTTCTGTAACCCTGTCCACCAGCATGACTTCCTATCCTGTGCGTCTGACGCCTCTGAGCACCTCAGGACGCGCGCACTGTGGCTGTCACTCTTACCGCGAGAAATGGCACTGTGGTGGCTTCTCCTGAGCCCTTGGCCACTGAGGCATCATCATGGGGTAGGTGCATGTGAACGTGAAGCTCCTGCCCACAGGTCCCATGAAACCCTCACAGTCTCAGTAGTTACCCACGGCCATGTGGAAATTGTCTCTCCTTGTTCTTGACGCCGTTCATTAAAATCTTGTTTAAAGCCTGCCTCCCTCGTCTGTGAGCTCCAGGAGGGTGCAGGTGAGGCCTCCTGTGCCTCATTGAGTACCTCGGGCCAGGCACAGGAGGACCCCGTGACTGCTTGTGGACTTAGTTGAATATAATCGCATAGTAACCTTGTAGGTTAAGTTGACCCTCCCACTTCAGGTTAATGCCATAAGATATTTAAGGTTACATATCACTGTAATATAATTATACATTTGCTGGATTTAATGTCCCTGTTTTATTTAATACTAAGAAAATATAATCTTCCTGCCCCAACATGAGATTAAAAAAGCCACTGTGGCAGAGGCCCTGGCTGGGCCGTTCAGTTGGATGTCCTCTCGTGCACCAAAAGGATGCAGGTTCCACTCCCGGTCAGGGCACATGCCTAGGAGCAGGTCTGATCCCCAGTCAGGGAGCGTACGGGAGGCAACCGATCGATGTTTCTCTCACATCAGTGTTTCTTTCTCTCTCCCTTCCTCTCTCTCAAATCCATTAAAAACATTAAAAAAAATGCCACTATGGTAGATATTGAATCTTCACCCACCCAAAGATGCCTATCCATGAATCATTCCAAAATCGGTTGCTAGATCTTTACTGACACCTGCTTTAGCTCGGTGCTGTCCGAGGAGCTGGGGTCACGCAGAATAGTGGGGGTGGTTCTTATCTGCCGAGGCAGGGTCTCCATTGGGGGAAATAAGGCTCGTGAAATGCTAGCCAGCACCGTGTTGCATGTACCGAGCTGCAATCAGTGCTGTACAGACTGTATCTGCGGCAAGTTATAGGAGACAAGGGAGATTATGAAATTAGGAAAGCCAGAGGCAGTTTATAAGGGATGTGGCGTGATGGGCAGGATTTGGATATGAGGATGGGGGAACCTGTCAGGCA